GAGAGATTTTTTCTGAAAGAAAAAAAAAAACAAAACAAAAAAAACAGCGGTTGGGAAGTCTGCAGTAGGGCCTCTGGGGTCTCACAAACTGTTAATATAACAAGTATTACAGATTACTGCAGATGTTTTGTTAATACAATAATAATTAATATACAGTACCAGAGAAGACAACACACAACAGTAGTATGAATTCAGGTGAATGCATCCAAGATGGTGACTAAAGGCTTGTACTGCCGACGTGAACTTAATGACTTACTGCAGCGTGGGGCTGGTGTGTTCTACTTATGTCACTGCTGTGGTGCAAAAACTACTTAATCAGTGGTTTCCATCTTCAGCTTTGTTGGCACTTTTCTTGAAATCATCAATCTTATCTTACAAAATGGGACACAGCATTAGGACAACTGCAAGTATGATTCTTCTACTGATTCTGATTCTACTTTGTACAGTAGTTGGTCACTACTACACAGTACTGAATATTTTTTAAAAATTATTATTTACCAGTACTTTGCAATCTACTGATAGAACACAATCTACTTTTTGGGCACCACTGTTCTACTGTATTAGTACAGTTTAAATTTTTTTTTTGCATCTACAATGATACTGGTCACAAATTCTATTAACACATTTTAACAGCTTCCATCACACTTCCTTAAGAGTGTGTGTTTAAAAGTTTAGAAACAGAGGATACCAGCCATACAAGTAAGGAGAGCGGCTTCTCCTATATGTAAACAAAAAACATAGAAGACAATAGAGGTGTCTTTTCTTGTGTAAGTAAAGGCAGCCTTAGTTTCTGGATATGGAATCTTTGTCAATTAATGTCACAACACGTTACACGTCCTTCAAATCCACCCTTTATCCTTTTCAGGAGGCTCAGTTGTGTTATTTCTTTTACACAGAACCACAAAAATGTTGCCGTTCAAGTCGTCTATGTCCATGTTTAGCTGGTGAGAGAGGACCATGAAGAGCTTTCATTAGCAGATCCACAGCAGCTCATTAGGAGCAGCAGGATGACAGGCTAACCACCAGTAACCGGCTGCTGTTTTAACCTGCTAATGGCTGACCTAACCTCTGATCCATCACTCTGTCTGCATTCACCTGTGTTTACCTGCATTCCTACCAGCGCTGAGTCACACCTGCATGTTAAAGTCACTCCAACAACACACGAAGCACAGAGCCAGCATGTGACATACAAGCATTAGGCTAAAGGATGGGGAGAAGATGTAGCCGCTCTACTGCATTTAACCTATTTGTGACTCCCCAAAACTCGACCCGCAGGAGCAGTGGGCTGCATTTTACTGTGCCTGAGATGCAGTCGTTTTTTGTGATTCCTCAACATGCCACAGTCCTGCCAGGCATGGGATTTAAACTGGCAACTTTAAACACCTTTCCTCTATCCAAATGTCAAACCAAACTGCTTGAATCCAGCACACTGCTCTGCCCTAACGTCTGCAGAATTGCCAGAAAAAAAAGAACAAAAGAAAATAGATTTAATTTGCTTTTTGTCTACCTGCCATACCGCAGGAGATACACAAGATGCTAATTTTTACAATGTAATGTGTTTAAAAATTAATCTTTTTGCTGTGCTGCCAGAAGTTTCACATATTTTCCTAGGTAAAAGAAAACAGTGACATTATGCTGTTTCATTAGCAAGAAGCTGAAAATTAAGTGTGACATTTAAATTTGATTTATGTAAAAAAAAGAAAAAAAGAAACCACTATCTGATAATGACAGATAACTCAGACACAGTACCTTCAGACACACAGGGTGTAGTGCTAATTACTACACTGGCTGATTGAATGTTTTACTTATGATTTCCATTGTTTGTTTGAGAAGCAAAGAGAGTGAATGTGGTCATTACATGAAATTACATTTCATCCAAATGCTTGTTCAGGGGCCTCGAGTTGCAGTCCTCTGCCGACCACTATCATTTATGCTTCTTTAGTCTTTATATAAAATTAAAAAACAAAAAACTGTACCAGCAGTGGTAGAAAAAAAATGCCTAGTAGGAAGAAATGTAAGAATCAGTCTTGTATTCTGATATCAAACAGGGGCATCATGTCAAAAAACGATCCGATCTACTGGTGTGCCATAAACCAGGTGTTCACTGTCACTCTAACGGAGAGATGGGTGGGTCAATCAGTGTTCAGCTTAAAGCCAAGCATCTGTGTATATTTCCAGCTGAAACAACACTTTTAATTTTTTTCATCCACTCACACCAGTATGATGAATGACATTTAAATTTGTGAAAATAAAACAACCAAAACTTCTACAAAATCTCATACCACCTGTTGAAGACCTCTGCCACGAACAGAAGAAGCCAGAGAAGTTTGTTGAATAAGATTTATATAAATACTAAATATTGTTAAAGTACATGGCACCTTGGTCTGTACATATACATAATCTAGCCTACAGCACCCCCTGGAGTCCGACCAGCGCAGAACAACTGCAGAGGAGAATACAGCGTCAGCAGCTTTTTTTGAATAAAATAATTTAAAAGTAATACCGTATTTACTGAGAAAACAAACAGATTCAGTAACATTTACGTCAAATGACAGCAAAGAAAAAAAGAAACCCTCACCGCAAACACACCAAGAGGCAGAAACACATGCTTTTATGTTCTTCAATGTTAAAACTGTAATGCTGTTGTATCTTTCTTTCCAATACGCAACAATAATTAGATCTTGTGTAACATCAATTATTTAATCCGTTTTAAACTGTCCTTAAACTGAAAATTTGCAAACACAAACAGCAGGATTAGCATAGGTTAGCCAAGCCTCAGGGACTTTACTTATTGTTGATAATTAAATCTTTAGTGATGTGTACTGAAATTTCATGGATGTAAGGTAAAAAATGTAGATGTCAATGTGGGACATATATTAATTTTACTGCTGTTGGGGCATATACAGCTCCACATACCAGTGGCTGTTCCAGGCTGTAGTAAAAATGGTAATTTTCTGTTTAGTAGAAAATGGCCATTCTCCATCTTCTACTTTTTCATGTTGGAAATGTTTTGATACAGAACAAAAACTGCATTGTTATAAGAAAGTCTGTATAAAGGCATCAGGGATGAACAGCAGTTTCCATCATAATAAAGCCACAAACACTTCTACTGAGCCAGACTTAAAAAAACTTGACAATATCACTGTTATTAGACAGCATACACTGCATCCTACTGCCCCCTAGTGCTTTTATGGTAATAGAACAAAAGTGTTACTGGATTTATTTAACTGGATTTATTTAAGCTCAACATGATGTTACTCATCTTTGTTGGGTTTTTGCTTGAACATCCTGCTAAAAAAAACATATTTTTGGACATACACTACACATCTACGAACACTGAATTCCACAAAGCTGACCTGTGCTTTTTGGTTGAAATTCTTTTTAAGGAACCAGACCTTGTCCCGTACCATTAAACTCTCAGTCCTTACAACTGTCAGCAGGGTAATAACACAAACATCCATGATGTATGGTCAAGTATCACTGAAAACAACTTTTTGGCATTTTAAAACAACATTCAGGAAAAAAATACTAACATCCCCCCCCCCCAAAAAAAAAGCAATTTCACAGTGTTTTGCGAATTTGGCAGATGAAATTCATATATGGTGAAACAAGAATCGTCGGCTGTCGTCTCTGCTCCTTTTGCACAAACCCGGAGTAGAAATAAAAACTTAAAATTAAAAAAATGGTGTCCATGTCACATCAGCAGGTAACCAAAACATTATTTAAAAAATGACTAAACGTAATAGCGAGGCTCACTTCTTGTATAAGATTCCATGTGTAAATTTCAGGTTTTGGTTTTTTGCTCGAACAAGTAACAGTCTTTCTTGTCCCTGCCTATGAAGTTTGAGGTCAGAAGAGTAGGTTTTTTTCTATCTTCTCCTGATGAATTTAACGTAGTAGAGTTTATTAGAGACACGTCTTTGTGTGAAAGTTTGGTAACTTAGCTCATCAGTTTGACAGGTAAGTTTAATCCACTGTCTGAGTTGGTTCAATCCTCAGGGGAAAATTAAGATCCACAAATCTGTCTGATAAACATGGCAGTTATTAGTGTCAGTACATTCAGTTTGATCCAAACTCTGAAACCTGGACTGAACAAAATGTTCTGCAGCCAACAAAACCACTTCACCAAAGGGATTTCCAGTTGCTGATCCATCAAATATGATCTAAGCTTAAATAAAATGATGTCTTGTCAAAGAACAGGACTTTGTTTCCCTGGCAGAGACAAAACTCCACTGCTCTTCTAGACTAAAATACACCAGGGCGTCAGCTCCTGGTCACACTCCAATTTGGTGTTGATGACGGTCAATGGAGCTCCGCTGATGGTCAGCTCCTGCCTGGATTCGACCTGGTAACGAAGATTTGTCAGCCCCCCCTCAGGATCCACTTTGAACTGCTCCTATGATTATGGAGGGATTAAAAGAAGGGGGTGCAGGTGGTGGCGGAGGAGCAGAAGGAGAACGGTCTGAAGTGTATAATTAGGTGCTGATTTCAGATGATTTTTTACTGTTTTTATATGTTATATATTACATATTATAAAAGTTATATTCCAACTACAATTTAAATTATCTTTTTTTAAGTGATGATAATAATAAGACCCTATCAGTATATCTAATTTTATCAATTGATCATTCAATTTACCTTGGAGAAAAGGTGTCTCACAATATGGTCTGTGTACCACCTTTGGTACATTTCAGCATGTTGCAGATTTTTAAAACCTCTTCAGTCTCCACATTCATTTTCATTTTTCATTTATTTTTAAACTTAGCACTTCTCTTATATTATTGCTGTATATTGTTTGACTTTGAACTTGTACTGCTCATACAAGGCTCATATGAAAAGTTCCTTCAAGACTTTTTCCATTACAGTAACCCTGTAGCGCCCCCATTGACTTTTAGAACCATCCTGTTGCCCAGAGCCAGTTTATATTATGAATAAGAAAAAAGAGAAATTGTAAATTGTGAAATTTTTGAGTGTAGGTGAAGCAGGTTTTTTCTGTGTACCTGTTTCTGAGATGCAACTCTCTTCTGGTCACGTTTCCTCCAGGCTGGGTCGTGGATGTGCGTGAAGGTTTTATATCCTGTGGTGATTCCACTCGGTCTAAACAGCTGTGGAAACATATAATACACATATAAGTTTGTTTGCTGTTGACAAATAAAAAAATCTTGAACCTTATTATGGTAAAAAAAAAAACCAAACACACACATTAATAATATGATGAAAAACAACACAAAACAAATTATATGCAATCACCAGATTTTAAAAATAGGACTCAATAATAAAAAAAAGTTTAGGTCTAATATGTAAAATACACATATACATAAATACATATTATCAAAATGTTCTTATATACATTATTATCAAAATGTTCTTATATCAAAAAATAACAATGTGTGATAGTAAATTGTGAATTTACCTGGAGTTCAGCTTTTCTGAGTCGTCTGTAAAACTCATCATCTTCTCTGCCCCAACCCCAAAACCGGTTTGACATTCCGTTACACTGGAAAAACAAACAAATTAATGTATAGAAAAACAAAAAAACGTTCTTCTTTCAATGGGCAACACAGTAAAGTAATCTAATAGCTCCATCTGGTGGACGGGTGCTGTATCAACGGCTAATGGAAAGAACCACCTCTATGTCAAGATAGCAAATGTAAACTTTCAAACAGGAAATTATACAAAAACGTCTTGTGCATGGTCAAAACCAGAGTTGGCAAAAATATAACTTTTTAAGAAGGTTAACCTATAGCCAAGGTGACTCTAGGCTTGGTTGACTGTTTTGTCATTTCTTGTTTCGTGTACAGACACAAATACTAATGAGAACGTGATCCACTCTGTACCATGAAGTAATGCTTCTTGGTGAGCAGCAGGATTCCTCCCACGTAGGTTTTGTAGTGGTAGAGAGGATGCAGCTCAGGCGAGGCCACGTGAAACGGACCGTCTTCTGGGAAACCATAGTCCAGAGCCTCGTTCATTGGCAGCAGGTCCACATCATGCATGGCCAGGTAGTCTGTGTCATTACCACTCTCCAGGTAACCAACGTTAATGAGAGACGCTCGATTGAACCTGAAACAATTCAAAGTGATTTATCGCAAATTTCTCTTGAGCATTGAATTGATTTAATTTTTTTAAATAAAAAATGTGGATTTGGACAAACAGCACAGTTGACATGCACAGACATCTCCATCATAAATCTCAAAAAACAAATGCTGTACAATTGCCTCACCTGTAGTGATCCACCTGGTTGATAACAAAGATCTTGTGGCGGATCTTCTTTTTGTTGAGGAATGTGTGCATAAAGGGGACAAACACCAGCAGCTCTTCAAAGCGCTCTCTGAAGGGGATGATGAGGGCCAGTTTGTGAGGCCCCCAGGTAGAGTCGTCTATTGCAGACAACTGACTGTCAGAGAGGCAGGGGGGCGGAGGGGGCTGCTGTTGGGAGAGGGGTCTCTCGTTGTGTGCCACTGCAGAAAAGTCACCTGAACAGCTGAGCTGCAGCCACAGCAGTGAGACCAGCACCAACACCATGCAGAGGCCAAATAGCTTGTAGACTGTACATTTACCAGACAGGAACCTGAGAACATGCACACACACAAACATGGCACCATTTAGATAAGGAATATAGACAAACTTTAATAGACTAACACACCTTAGCATTCAAAGCAGCATTTCCACTCAACGTAAGTACGTAAGTAAAGAGCAGATCGTCTGCTCTCTCAATGTGACACCATCATACAAAAACACAAAGCAAACAATGACGGACAAAAAATTCCATACATTAATTCATTGCATCAGTGAACATCACAACTTCACAGCTGGTATTTAAAATGTACCAAATACTACTACATTAGCTGGAGGATTTAAACATGAGCAAACAGCATTCAGGTTAGTGATTGAAAACACACTGGGCAACAAAAGGCTGATTCCCAAACTGTGCCAGAGAGTTCCCTGCTCAAATGACTATGTGGAACACAGAGAGGAATGATGGGAAATGTGGCTTTTGTGTGACATTGTAGAGGCCTGTGGTGCCAGGATCAGGTGGCACAAAGTTAACTGGGTGACACAGAGCCAGCCAAGGGAACCATCAGAGTTCTTGTATCAATTATATTTGATCAATGCTAGTCAAGTTAACTGAGAAAAAGAAAAAAAGTTGAAAGAGAAAATAAATAAATAGTTGAAAGAGAATCGACCACAAATTGTGTGTGGAGATAAAGTGGAGGTTAAAGTAAAAAAGGCAATAAAGGACATTACTATCAGCTGTCATACATAAAAAGGACTTGCAGGGATCAAAGAAAAAGAGAACATAATTGAGAAAACAGAAGTGGAATAGGTATAAAGACAGATAATAAAGCAGACTACAAATATAACGGAGAGGGTTTGATGTGGACATCGACGTGTGGACATCTAAGGCTAAGGCATAAAATGAGGACAATACTGAATATACTTTTTAATTATTATACTTAAAATAATAGGATAGGATAGAATATGTAATGAGAGCCAATATTTGTTTTTAATTAGTAGGAGGGAAACGATACAGTGACTTATTTTCTCCTTCCTGGTATTCATTACTGCAATTTATTGTATTTTATTTTAGTAGTAATTTTATTTTAAATTAGTACTATGGTGACAGTATAATGTTCCCTGGCCACAGATTGGGAAACAAGGACAGGAAACACATATTTACTCACTTCTTCCCTTCTCCATGCGGAACCTTACAGAAGTCACTCCAAAGCCAAAGGAAAGATTACATTTTTTGTTTGTTTTCCTTTCCTTGTGTGTCATGAGAGTATTATAAGGAATCAAACCTCACCTACGCTCCTCTTTAAAGTAGAGGACGGGCTTTCTCCTCGATGAATACATCATCTTTCCCGATTTCACCAAGACTGGATTTTAACAGATGTCACCACCAAGCAGAAGTGTAGCCAGGCTTGCGGTGCTCCTTAACGGTGTACGGAGGAGACTGAGCCCCGTGGCTATTTCCTGTGGTTTTCAGAGCACCATGATGTCAGTGAACAAGCCGACCTCCGCCGATACTCCAAATCAACTCTCTCGGAAAGGAGTGGATCAGTTTTTAAGCCTCTTAACATTTGCCCGGTTGAATTTCTTTTAAATTTAAGATGTTTTCGCCGGAATACATGACTCCCTTAGCGTATTAGCGACCAGCCACTTAACATTAACTGTCCACGTAGCATGTAGCGGTACACACAGTCGCTGCGGCTTCACATTAGGACATTTTTGGCTATTACTTCCTATATTTTTCTAATATGAAAGTGTATCTTAAGTATTTTAAGCATTCAAATACGCATTAACACAACGTCACTGCGTAGCCGACAACGAGGAGTATAACTGTTGACTCAATTACAAAAAGAAAAAAATCCCGAACACAAGCGCCGACTGTGTTGCGGTACAACTCGAAAATGATTCCGTAGACGAACAACAACTACAGTAATGAGGGTTCCTATTAAGTTTTTAATTAAAAAAACAGTAGCCATTTTATTGAAAACATTTACGTGACATTAAATTCGCACACACAGGGATAGTGGAGTGGAAAAATATTTTCCTAGAAAATATTAACGAATTAAATTATTTATTTAGTTATTTTAGGATTCGTTGAAAACACTGCCAGAACTCACCAGACAGTCATAAAGTACAACATTTTGGATAGATGGGGAAAAAACACAAGATTTTTAAAGGAAATTCCAAATGCTCTTGCTGCTTTGAATTCCACAGGTAACGTCTTTATAGTCATGAGACAACATTCTAAATTATATCTGTATTTCTTTGTGTTTTTTGTATGATTTGTAATCATTTATATAACTGGGAGAATTTTACCAACACCTCTGGCAGCAAATTAACTATTAAACAAATTAACAACAGCCGCTGATTCTAACCTGACCTCCAAGGCTCCACAACATGTATGTGGCTTTGATGTCTTCTATAATGACTTTAATGCTTTATTCCTCTGCTCCTGTGAAAAATGAAGGACACTAAATAGGTTTAGAAACTCCTGTAAGACTACAGTCTTTCTCACTCTGATAGACTGCAGTCACTGACTGGACACTATTGCAATCCAAAAGAGACCCTCACATATGGTCATCATTTAAGATGACCATGCAAAATCAACTGCATCATCTGTCCAATGAAATCTGTGCTCAGCATAAAAATGGTGACTCAGTCATCAGAGTTGCAGAAGTGGAATTTAAAATCCACAAGAACATTCTCGGTCGCTGCAGTCCATATTTCATGGCCGTATTTTACTATGACTGCACGGCGGACAATGTTTTTACCATCTGTGGCTTGTCTCCAGAAATAATGGACTGTATTATCCATTTTGAGTACACTGGGATTGTTGTTGTGACAGAGGACAATGTTGAGGCATTAATAATGGCAGCAGACATGTTCAATGTGGAGGATATAGTAAAGATATGTGGTTATTTTCTCTGTAAGAACCTTGGGCCGGAAAACTGCATCGGCATTTGGCAATTAGCAATTGCCTGCCTTCACTATGAGTTGCAGTGCACAGCATGGAGCTACATTGTTGATTATTTTGAGGACGTTGTGCCCTGTGAAGATTTATTACAGCTCACAGTGCAGGAGCATTCCAAAACACTCACAGCAGAGACGACGTCAACCTAACAAGAGAGAGCACTGTGTTTGAGGCCATACTTCATTGGATTGACCACAAACCACAGGAGAGAAAAAGACACATGAAGGAGCTCTTTTCTAAGTTTCGAGTGGCCTTGACAGGTATTGAGTACATCAATGTCCATGTAAAGACCAATGAGCTGGTGATGAAGAATGTCGAGTGCCAACAAATGGTAAGCGATGCCCTTCAACTTCTATGCTACATGAGACGAGAACAATCCCGTGCACAAGCCAAAGTGATACACTGATTATAGCAGTGCAACAACAAAGCAACAATATGGATGTCAGTAATTAGACAACTCTTTATCTTAACATTAAATGTGACAGATCAAACAAGACAACATTCATACACTGACAAAATATTTAAATGTTTGGCACAGACTATTTAGATATATTTAATATGCAACAACCATGATTGTGATATTAAGAAATACCCTGTAGTGACTAAAAGAAAAAAAAATCTTTAGACCAAAGTGGCAAACTTTATTTCAAGTGCAACCTTTCTTACAGATTTCATAAGATAAGAATCTCTCTCTATAAACTGAAGCTCCTTGGAGGTAAAACCTTCACCAACGATCCAGGGGAAGAAAAGAAAACTTTAAACAAAGAGGAATTATTTTCACAACGGGTTGGGGAAGACCCACAGACATTAAAATAAGAGTGGATAGTGAACTTTACTGCAAAAGAACAGGAAAGTACATTCATTTGCAAGACTGCCAAAAAAGTTTACTCAATTCCAAACAGGAAAAAATACTGCTAAAAGCACTGAGCAGAGACATTGGGTCCACCTTGAACAGACAAAGTTTCTACATAAGGTCAGGTAGGGGAAACAAGACAATAAACAACATCTATTTCACCTTGTATCTGTTATAAAATTACACAAAAATGCATACAATTTAAGTTGCTTACAATTTGTAGTTGCTGAAATAAGCAAAACCCGACTTCTGTTCCAACATCTCTGATGGCCAGTAACACATCAACAGCCAGTAACAAGGAAAAAGGGGCATTTTAATAGTAGTTTATTACTAGTTTTTTGTCAAGACATATGTGACTCATTTTGTAATGAATCACTGGTTTTGAGTAAGTTTTTTTTTTTTTATTTGCCTTGATGATTTGTAGAAAAAGGAGCTCAGTTTTTTCCCCTGTAGGACTTAGTTCTTTAAAAAAAACAAACAAACAAAAAAAAAAAAAACAGTGAATTTTTCACAAGTTTGAAGTGCAGAGCCGAAAACACGACAGTCTTCAGATACGTTGGTGTCATATACTGTACGTCTGCCTCGGAAAATGTTTAACTTCTCTGCAAACAGCAGAACATCAAACTAGAGCCAGTGTTTTTTTGTACTGCAGGGTCAGAAGGGATGGAAGATTTAACACACTGTAACTTTTAACCCTTGCTCTTTGGATAAAAATGACAGCTCGACTTCCCTCCTGTTGACGAGAGCTGCTTGTTTCAAACCAGGTGTGTGTGGAAAAAACAATAAAACAAACATAAAACAACACACACAACATTCATTATAATTATCCTGATGACGACAATGTTTTCAAGCCAAAAGAGTGCAGCTGGGCTTTTCCGCATCACATCTTTCTCCGACAGCAGCTGATGAGTACTGCATTCATCAGTAGAAACCACACACATACACACAGACATTCACTTGGACATGCACACATGCACACATTACACCAGCTTCTTTGCCTCGAAGAAGCTCTTGAGATGTCTCATTTGCCAGATGCCGATGGCCACCAGGATGAGAGTTTGAACGATGGACCACCAGAGGACGCGCTGGTTTGTGCTTTCACTAGTCTGACGGAAACGCTCCTCGCGGTACTGAAACGACACAGACAGCAGGAGATGTTCAGTGAGAGTTGTAATGAAATTTAGATAACACATTTTTGTTAAAAAACTGTGGTGAGGTGTTTTAGCCAGGGCAGGAAAAATAAAGAAATTGTGTAGGAAAAAAATACAATGCCTTCACATAATCATATTTTTGACTATTGTTATTTAAAGATTTTTTTTTTTTTGAATTGTGACTTAAAGGAACAAAAAACTTTAAAGACTATTATAGGGACTCGAAAGCAAATTTGCACTTCATGGTTGACAAATTATGTAAAAAAAACCAAAACATTTATTGTACAAATTAGTTCAGAAGAACAAAAACAGACCATTACAGAAACAGTGCTATTCACACTTTAAATGTTACTGATCTCACAATGGGGATGGTTTATGCAATGCTGCTACTTATTTTGTAAGTTTGTTTCTGAACTACTGACTGTGTGCAGCTGTTACCTGAATGCTCATATGCCACACATTTTTAATGCATCAGTATAAAAACAGATGTGTTTTGTGTCAATGTTTATCTCACTGACCCTCTGGTAGTTCTGCTCCTTCTGGATCTGATCAACCTGCTCTACCAGCTGTCGCACTCTCAGTTGCAGCTCTGTCAGCTTATCTTTGGCAGCAATCTCAGCATAGTTGTTGGCGTGTTCTCCCACCTGAATATCCAAATGAACCCTCTGCAACAGAACAACAGCTTCAAATTTAGGAACAAGAGAAGGAACAAGCTATAGGGCTGCAACACAGCCACATACAGTTTATGTCTGTTTGCAAGTCATTACTGTGTTAAAAACACAGACAGAATTTTAGCAGTAAAAATAAAATAAATTGCATTTGAAGAGTATGTTAAATTAACAGTACTGTGTACTACAGAAGCTAAACTAATAATTATAATAAAAATTAAAAGACATTAAACATCACAAAAATAATCGCTTTTCCCACAATTTATATACATATACCCAAGGTACATTAAACATCACAAAAATAATCGCCACAATTTATATACATATACCCAAGGTAGTCGACAAGACACTTTAAACGACAATCCTACAAAATACACAATGATTTTACCAACAACATTTTATTTAACATCTTCACATATTAATGTCAAATATGTGCAGAGAAAAACACACCAGCATGCCGCCTGCAAAGAGGGAAAACTTAGAGGAGTTGGAGTGCAGACAGATCTGATGTTCTCCAGGTGTGTGTGAGGTGAAGGTGAATCTTCCCTCAGAACCATACTGACGTGACAGAATCACCTGTAGGTTAAAAAAAAGGGAAAAGAGTCAACCTTTTCCTTGTGATAACAAATATACAGGTATTAAATGTTTGGTTTTATTTTGTACCTTGTCATCTGGATCTTTGACCTCCACAAACATTCCCAGACCCTGCATGGCGGGCAGATACTCCTGTCGCTGTTTATCATACAATTGAGTTCGGTAGTTTCCTGCAGAGACACAGGAAGTGACGATTTGTTTCAGTTGTACAGGAGTAAGGATTAGGATGCTAGCAGTATTTGTTGACTTTTATCACTCTGTGATGTGGTGCACCTGAGGACGCATGGAAACTGGGGTGTGGTTAGATCAAATACAAGTACATGTACCATAACTTTGTTACAATGAATCAGATTGCAAACAACACAGAAAAAAATAAAAAATATAAAAGTAACAAAATGTAAATTTTTTGGATGGAAGATGATAGTATTATTATTACAAATATATGCTTTTATGCTTACAAAATTCATAGTGGTAAAAAAAGAAAAATTTCAAGCAACAGAAAGAAATAGTAAGGTGTTAAATGACAGCCTACAGTTAAAGAAAAATTGGCAACCTCTTTACAATGACTTGTAGTACTAACATTTGAAAGGCTTAACACTGCACTGCAATATGAATTTTAGTCGTACAATGAGTAAATTCGCTTGCAAAGTTAAACCAAATTGTTATTACTTCCCACGTCTATTTGTTTATATTTGAACAAAGAATTAGTGTTGTAAAATGTTGTATTAGCGTTGACGTCCTCATCGTCTGCCGTTACTTTGCTGTTAAGCTTTACCCGCACCACTGCTACTGTAGTACTTTTATTTCGCGAGACAAACACACTCAAAATGTTTCAACATATGTGTATTTAAATAATACTGTGCATATTGTATTTTAAATATTTTAAAATGGGAAAGAGCTGCTGTTTGACACTTTTTGCTGTTGTTAGCCTGTCAGCTAAAGTTCATGAGCAACTCATCGCTAGCATTAGCCTCTGCGTTGGTGTAACCAGTGACACTCACCGATGATCATAGTCTCGTCCGGGATTTCCTCTATAAAACATTTTTTCTCCGTCTCTCCGATGTGAAAATACAAAGAAGAAACGACGCTGTAAAAGCCGCTCAGAAGAAAAAGCGACAACACACACGGTTGAGCCACCATCTTCCTGCTCTTGACACACCGGGACAGTCCGACTGCGCGTGCGTTGACTTTGCAGTGCCACGTAAACTCTCGACCTGTTGCAGCCAATCAGCAGAGCACTATGGAACGGTGGGAGTTGTAGTTTATAGATGACGTCCTGTATTGCCATTGCTCAGTTTAAAAAAAATGGAAAACACATATTAAATGGAATTAATGCATGTGCATTTTAAGAAATTTAAAAATGACAGTTTGGTGTTTTGTACACCACAAGGGGGAGTCATAGTTTGAAACACAAGATAATTATTTCTGGAGGGCAGTACGTCTAAAAAGTGGTGGTTTTAAGACAGACACTGAAGAAGAAGTACTTCCGGAAAGCTGTTTCCATGGCAATCAAACATGGCGCCAGGTAAGACACTTCAGTAAAAGAAAGAAATGCGCTAATAATTACACACTAACAGATGTCAGTGTTTTTCCAAGTACTGTATTCTAAAGTTTAGACGTTCAAAAACGCAAGAGAATCAATTAAGCTGTTAGCATCGACATCAGCTCAGATATGTCAATGCTAACATGGTAACATCACGAGTGTACTACTGCAGTTATAACTACACGACCACTTCTACTACTACTTACCGTACCTATACGTTACATGCTTATGTTACCACTTTATTTTTAACTAAAATAAAAACATTAAATAAAGGGCTGGTACTTTGGTTTTCATACGTTTAACGAAATGTGCCACACACACTATGCAGTAATACGAAGTGTTTTGCTATTGTCAGTTATTACTGTCAGTTTTATTTTTAATTCCAATAAAGGATCAATGTTTACTTTCAGGTTTTTTTTCTCTGCAGGAAACCAACCGATTGTATCCTTCTGTGAAAGTATTTATTGTTGTTGCTCACCCCCCCCCCCCCCCCCCCGCTTCTCTCCCCATCCTTCTGAAGTAGAACAGTCTTCATCTCTTGTGTGTCCTTGACATTTTGACCCTTCAGCTGTCATCCACTCCTCTGCAACTCCTTTTCTACCTGAACATATGGTATTTTGCAGCTTTTTATCTGGCAGAGATCCTCATGTTTATCTACAAAGGTAAAATGTTATTTCATTCTCACTTGCAAACACGAGATCCTTTTTTTAAATTCTGTTTTTTTTTTAAATTATTTTGTTCAGGCATCATTCTGCCGTACCCTCCAGATAATCTCATCCTGGACGTTGTGCTTCTGGTCATCTTACTGGCTCTAGAGACACTCAGGATATTTTACGGTGTGTAATGTATTTTATCGTCAGTGCTTTTGTGCCACCTGTTGTCTAGAACACAGGTTTTTGGCAAAACTGTTGATATCATTACTGTTGGACAGACAATAAAACCACTGTGTACCTTTGTGTCTATGGTTGCAGGTTGGAAGGGAAACCTTTGTGAGCGATCTCTGGCATTGTGTGCTTCACTTTTCATGCTCTTCCCCTGTGCTGCGCTTGCCGTGTACTACCTGCTACTGCAGACCTTTGTACTGCGGCTGGAATTCATACTTAGTGCTATTCTTCTCTGCTTCTACGGCCTGGAGCTGCTGCTCGGACTCATCTCCTTATCTGCCTTCTCCAGGTGACATAATCTGTTTAAACAGTTACTTGTTATGTGGGAAAATCTGCTTTTCTAAATTTTTTAAAAACTATTTCTTGCAGATCTAAAGTGTACTGAGACCAGCATGAGTTTACCTAATTAACAAACAGGAGAACGAAGGCTCTTCCACACCTAAAGTACATTGTACAAGAAAGTTTTCTTTTTTAAAGCTGTTTCTTTGTAGTGTTTCTTAAGAGTTGTAGATACTAATCTGATTTCTTAAAACAATAATCTTTGTTAAAGACAACAGCCTGTGTTAATAGTAATTTTTTGTTAGTTTTTTTATAAAGTGTAAATATAAATAAAGTATTTTTTGTGTTTCATATACATATTAATGACTAGAAAAGTGTAATAGAGTGAAAATAAAACAATATTTTCAAGGACATGATTTCACAATTTAATGATTTCTACAACTATAACACTAAACTAATAGGATAAAAAAAAGATCTATCCTGGACACGGTCCGGTCCGTCAACTACAAACAACTATCTTTATGTCTAGCCTCCCTCAAAACTTACAAATACATGTGTACATACATGGGTATCCATACAAATGTCTGGCCTATTGTCTGGCTTGGATATGCAGTGACATCATTTCCTGTGACTTTCAAGGGTTCTTGTGACTTTGATGGAATTAAAAAGAAGCAGACTGTGGTGCAGCACAATGGATGCTAACTGCTGTGCAGCACTACTAAGAGAGAAAATGAAGCACCTACCCATTATCATGGGGTCACCATTCAGTGGGTGTATGGAAAGTAAAGACATGTCAGTAATATATGAAAAACCCACTGGGTGGTGGTCTTGCAACATTACAGGTGCCAACTGATGTATCACCAAAAAAGAAACTAGAGTGTTTGTGCAAATGGATGAGGTGTGTGAGGCAGAGACATTACTGATGACAACTGCCCGAAAACACCAAAGAAGAAAAAGAAGCACAAACATCACAACCAGAATGGCACCTGCTGCTCTTGAATGTCAAAAAAGCCAAATGGATGAAGTCTCTGAAACGTTAACTATGACAAAAGATTGGGAGTTGAAGTGTAAAAGTCAAGAGGACCCTGTTATCGAGGCAGAGGAGACCATGTTTGAGTTAAATGACCCGACACTTGCCATTTCCATTGAATGTTTTGATGACACAATGGGAGAATTTGCAAAAGCTGAGAATGAACTCCTTGCCAAATTGAACGCTGAAATTCAAAGAAAGGTTCACTTTCAACAAAGCCATGACGAAAGAGACTCTCAACATGCATGTGTTTACAAATCATGTCTTCAAACATCGGTAGAGGACATGAACGAAATGAACGATGAATACAACGAGATGAAGACCTTTGTACTGCAGACCAATGCCATGATGGACCAGCTCAGGAAAGAGAGGGACCACTTAAAGCACCAGGTCAAGGAACTAACCAATAAAATTCATGGAATGACAGAACAAGATGGAGCAATCATGGCTGCAGTTGATGCAAAGGTGGAGGAGTGGAAGCGAGTTTTCTCTGAGAAGGATGTGGAGATATTAGGGTACAAGCAGGCAATTCAGGAGAAAGACTATCAAATCAGGAAATTAAAAGACCACGCCAAGAGAAAAGACAAAAATGGAGCGTTCACTTCGCGGCACAGAAAGATCGAGGAGCTTAAATCTAAGCTTGAAGCAGCAGAGAGCAGAGCAGCAGTGGCTGACATGGAGTTAAAAGTAGCAGAAGCTCACGTTGTGGAAAAAGACAAGGCACTCCGAGAGATTTCACAGCGTTTGAGACAGTACGAGTCTGGCATTAACGGCCTGGATGCCGCCTGGGCTGAAATTAAAGAGTGTAAAAATCATATTAAGGACATGGCCACTGAAAAAGCATCAAACTTTGTCCTGGAAAAAGAACTGAGACTCTTGCAGACCCACTTTCAGGCCAAAGTAGAAGAACTGTCAAAAGTGAAACAAGATCAGGAGGTGTTGTTGAAAGATATGCTTGAAGCCATATGGGCTAATAAA